AATAATAATAATAATAATTATAATAATAAAAAAATCCCAACAAAAAGCTCAAAGCCAGATGGAGTCACAGCTGAATTCTACCAAAAATGCAAAGAGTAACTAATACCAAGCCTCCTAGAACTGTTCCCAAAAAAAATCAGGGAAAGAATTCACCCCAACTGCAATTCATTCTACAAGGCTAGTATCACCCTAATAACAAAGTTATACAAGGACAGAACCAAAAAAGAAAACTAGACTCTAATATCCCTGATGAACACATATGCAAAACTCCCCAACAAAATGCTAGCCAATCAAATTCAACAATACATCAAAAAGATAATACAACATAATCAAGTGCATTTTATACTACGGATACAAGGATGATTCAACATATACTTGTAAACATCATATAAATTAAGAACAAAACTATGTGATCATCTCAATAGAAACAAAAACTATTTGATCAAATTCAGTATCTGTTCGTGGTAAATAAAAATCCTCAACAAACGAGGCACTGAAGAAACATACCTCAAAATATTAAACAGCAAACCCATAGCAAACATCATAATGAATAGGGATAAGTTGAAAACATTCCCTCTAAGAACTGAAACAAGAAAGGATGCCCACTTCCACTACTCTTATTCATCACAGTACCAGAAGTCCTCGCCAGAACAATTAGGTAAGAGAAAAATACAAAAGGCATCCAAACTGAAAAGAAGAAGTGATGTGGTCTCTGTTCTTTGATGATATCATCTAATACCTACAAAACCCTAAAGTCTCTATTCTTAGATTTGATCAATGAATTCAGTAAAGTTATAGGATATAAAACCTACATATAGTAATCACTAGCATTTCTATACATCAATAACCAACTCAAGAGGCCTATCTCATTTACAAAGATGCCAAAATACCAAACCAAAACAAAACAAACATAGGAATATATTTACACAGGGAGGTAAAAGATCTCTATAAGGAAAACTACAAAATACTCATCAATGAAATTGCAGATGACACAAATAACTGGAAAAACATCCCATGCTCAAAGATTGGAAGAATTAGTATTTTTAAAATGACCATGCTGCCTTTACAAGTTCAATACAATCCCTATCAAAATACCAAGAGCATTTTTCATAGAATTAGGAAATTCTATGAAATTTGGTTGCATATGGAACCAAACAGAGCCCAAATAACCAAAGAAATCTTGAGCAAAAAGAACCAAACTGGAGACATCACTTTGTCTTATTTCAAATTATATTATACTACAAGGCTGTAATAACCAAAACTGCATGATACTGGCATAGACACTGAAACAGACACACACAGATCAATTAATGCAAGAGAGAACCCAGGAATAAAGCCACATACATATAGCCAATTGATCTTTGATAAAGATGACAAAAACAGGGAGAGAGGGGGTGGGGTGGGGGTCCACAGTTTGGGGGCAGGACACAATTATAAGAGGGATTTTACTTAATAAATGCAATTAATGTTACCTGGTTCTCTGTACTCTCAATGAATCCCCAACAATTAAAAAAAAAGAAAAAAAGAAGACAAAGACATATACTGGGGAAAGGATACCGGTTTCAATAAACTGTGCTGGGGAAATTAAATTGCTATGTGTAGAAGAATGAAACTGGACCTCTATCTCACTGTATCCAAAAATCAACTCAAGATGGATTAAAGATGTGAAAGTAAGATGTGAAACTATAACAATACTAGTAGAAAACCTATAGGAAACTCTTCTGGACATTGGTTCATAGCTAAGACCTAAAAAACATAGGCAACAAAAACAGAAACAAATGGGATTTAAACTATATAGCTTCCCTAAAGCAAAAGAAACAACAGAGTAAACAGACAATCTGCAGAAAGAGAGAAAATATTTGCAAAGTACACATTCTACAGGGAATAGAATTTACAAAGCACTTTAACTCAATAAAGCCCATAATCCCTTCAAAGTGGGATAATGACAGGAATAGGCATTTTTCAAAAGACAACAAATGGCCAACAAGCATGTGAAAAATTGTTCAATATCACCAATCATCAGAGAAATGCAAACTAAAACCACGAGATATCATTTTATACCAATCCAAATGACTATTATTAAAAAGACAAAAAAATAAATGTTGGTGGCAAAGAAGGGGTGGGGTGTGTGTGTGGGATAATGGTAGGTTCCTTGGTGGGTACAATGTGCATTACTTCAGTGATGCATGGAAGAACCTGACTTCGTCAGAATGCAATGTATCAACATAGGAAAACTGCACTTGATCCCATGAATATATACCAATAAAAAAATAGGGAAAAAATCATACTGTATACTGTAAATATGTGAGATTTTTTACTTATAAATTATATCACTATAAAGCTGGGAAAAAATAAAAGTAAAACTGGAAACACAATTAAATAAAAACTAAAAACCCCAGTAATTTATCTGAAGCCATAAAAGGTTAGTTTCTTCAAATAATTTCAACAGATTTCATTTTTATCAGTTATTTATCTACCTGAATAGGACACTTATTAAATTAAATCTGGGATATTAAGATCCAAAAAGTTTAACACTAATGAAAAAATATAACAAAGTTTCTCTTACCAGGCAAAACATTTTATTTGCATAAAGCAATAGCAAACAAATACTAACACATTACCATAAAACATCTTTCTTATTCAGAAAAAGACCTGAAAGTTTTTATCCCTCTCTAAGTAAAAATAGAAGAAATTTGTTTCTTCTGCAAGAAACCAGTTACATGGTGGCACAATGACTGCAAAGAAAAATATTTCATAAACTCAGAATTGCTTGTTTCAGCCAACTGCATAAATCCTATCACCATGTGGGGAGTGAGCAACAAAACAAAATAAATAGAAAAGGTGGCATGTAACTATTTTGATACACTGATGGCACAAAAAATGACAAAGGGATACCATAGGATGGGCACAGTGGCTCTCTTTAGTAAAGAACCTCTCTCTACTAAAAATAGAAAAACTAGCTGGGCATTGTGGTGGGCACCTGGAGTTCCAGCTACTTGGGAGCCTGAGGCAAGAGAATCGCTTAAGCCCAAGAGTTGGAGGTTGCTGGGAGCTGTGATGCCATGACACTCTACCATGAGCAACACAGTGAGACTCTGCCTCAAAAGAAAAAAAAAAAAAATTATTGAGAGAGACTTCAAAATGGTTGACTAAAGGCATCTGGCACCTGCCTTCTCCAAAAAGAACCAAAACAGCATTGAATAATATTCTTAATGAAATTAGGAGAGCATCTGTATCTTTTTGTTATAAAACTATTCAATACGGTAAACCAATAGGTAAAAACACAGCATTTGCATTCAGTGACATTTTACTTTTATTCTCATTCTCTCCATTTAACTATTTACCAACACTTTATGTATTGCTCAAAATTCAGAAATAATATAAAAAGTTTTCACTATGTCAGTAATATTCAAATTCATTGTTTTTTAAATGAATGAAGGTAGTAAAAGTAAATGATTAAAATTTTCCAGCTTGGGCAGTATTTGTGGAAGAATGGTATTACCACTAACAAAAAATGGTGTAGGTAAAAATGCAGGATGTTTCACAGTAGTACAGCTGACATTCCTTAATAACTAAAGTTGTCATTTATTTTTTTTTTTTTTTTTTTTTGAGACAGAGCCTCAAGCTGTCCCCCTGGGTAGAGTGCCGTGGCATTACAGCTCACAGCAACCTCCAACTCCTGGGCTCAAGATTCTCTTGCCTCAGCCTCCCAAGTAGCTGGGACCACAGGCGCCCGCCACAACGCCCGGCTATTTTTTGGTTGCAGCCGTCATTGTTGTTTGGCGGGTCTGGGCTGGGGATTCGAACCCGCCACCTTAGGTGTACGTGGCTGGCGCCTTAGCCGGTTGAGCTATAGGCGCCGAGCCTAAAGTTGTCATTTATAATAAAAATATTTATTAGAAGTCATGAGAATGACTTTTTAGAATTAATTTTGCCAATGTTACTAATTTAATTGAGTACTCTTTTTAAAATTAATTTTGCCAGTGTTACTAATTTAATTGAATACTCCAATTAAATAATTGTTGGGGTACTCTCTTTCTGAAAAAAAAAGGCTGGATTAATCTACTTTTGTTATATCAACTTATTCCTATGTATTTATATTTAATAAATACATAAGCTGCATTAAATAATTCAGCAGATATTTACTATAAACCTCACAAATATGAATAAGGCAGAAAAGGTCCCTTCATTCTGGAACTTGCATTATGGCTAGGGAACACTTACAATAAAGATATCGGAATTATAAAATGTCAAGCAACAGTAAGTGCTGTCAAGAAAATGAAACAGCTTAGAGAGCAACTGTAAGAAGGTGATGGATACTTCAAACAGGATGATTACAGAAGGATTCCCTAAAGAAAGAACACTTGAGCTGAGATCTGAATGAAGAGAAAAAGCCAATCATGCTACAATTACTCTAGATGAAGAGAATAGCTGATGAATGTCATTAGGCACTTTAACTTATGGCTATACATTTCTTTTCAGCAAAAGTCAACCCATTTAAAACTGGTATCAATTTCAGTAACAATGTATAGACATGCAACAATATTAAGGATTTTTAAGTGACCTAAAATATAACTATTAATGCCGTGAGATAGGCAATATTCTCTTTTAGATCTAAGTATACAAAAAGTATTAATGACACTCTGGTTTCTCTTTAGATCGTATAAATCTTTCGCCTTTTACAAAAAGTATTAACGTATAAAAAGGCTTGTAAAAGTATTTCATGGGTGCTTAAAAACTAACACTGTATATTACTTAACAGTCCACTGATAAACACATCGTATATACACAGGCATAGAGCTCTTTCTCTTAAAGTGAGAACTTTTTTTTTTATTTTTTGCAGTTTTTCTTTTTGGGAGGTGGGGTGGGGTGGTGGGGCTGGGTTTGAACCTGCCACCTCTGGCATATGGAGCTGGCGCCTTACTCCTTTGAGCCACAAGCATCGCCCAAGTGAGAACATTTTTATATTGGGTAAGCAGTAAATAAAAAGAGAATCTTACTTTTAGCAAATATGTCAACTGGTGATCCATCAGGCAAAAGCCACGGCCAACCTTTGAACTGCCACGCAGGACCCTGCACAAAAACTGCTACAACCCGGTCCCTGTAAGTAGAAAAGGGGGAGAGGGGAGAATATCTCAAATTTCAGCTTTAAGTTACTATAACTCTAAAGAAAAAGTCTCATACTTATTCATGTGATATAACTGCCTACTGATCCTTCTGTAAGACAAAAATTGCAGGGATATTACCAATTTTTTCAGATGATGCTGCCATTATTGCACATTAATAACTGCTACACTTCCTATGCACCTACACCTAGGTCTTTTAAACATAATTACAAAGACAACACTTTTGCGTCATCTTTTTAACCTTTTCTCTTCCCTTCTACTAATTATAGAGGAGGGATGCACTTTTCCAACGCAATCAAAATAGTTGGATTTTCTTAAAAAATCATTTAAAATTCAAAAACATTAAATATTTTGCTAAATTAAAAACATGACATTATTGTAATTCAACAACAACTTTATGAAGCCCCAAGGCCTTAGAGTGCTTCTGATTACTTGCCGAGTAATCTGAGTACAGAAACCAATCATTTAGTTGGTTTTATTATTTTTCCAACGTTTTTTACTCATTTAAAATTTTTAAAGTTTTTTTTTTTTTAATTTAAACACTTGTTTTTCCAACCACTTAACCTAGTCTTCCTGGGGGGGGGGCTCTTTGCAGGCCCTCATATTCATTATTTTACATGGCATTTGATTAATTGAGAAATTATACGAAGTATAGGCACAGTTTAAGTCTACAACTAGAGGTGGGAACAAAACACAATAATGGTTATCATTAGCAATATTCATTGTGAGCATTTATTATGTGCTATTTAGTGCTGTTGTACGCACTTTATGCATTACTTATGATATTAACACATTTAATCTTCAAAGGAATTCTCCGAAAACTAGAGAAAATTTGCTAGAGAAAGGTCACCCAGGTCCTACTAGACCTCACAGGCACATGATCAACAGGGAAGCAGGATAACATAAATGTTGCTCCCTGTGAATTCATGAAAGGACAATTAAAGACAAAGAAAAGGAGGTAGGGGGAGATGTTATTCTTAGGCTATGACTCCAGTGGCTGGAGACCCTAGCTAATATAGACAAGCAATGTTTTATACGGTTAATGATGGCACTTGTACAGACAGTATTATCATTTTATACAAGTAACTGTAAACAAATAATACAAATGGGGTAACTTTCCTACTTGGTTTTAAGCTTGATAATTCAAATTCTTATCTTATTCATTTTACATATTACTCAAAGTATCTATTGGGTTCCAGGAGAGAATTCTAAGAACCTTTTATTCTTTAGTAAATATTTAACATATTAATATTCTCAATGACTTTACTTCCTAATGTCTGAGAACTAAGAAGTACTACATAAAGGAAAATGTCATCTAATGTGCCATGTCGCATTCTCTATATCACAGATATATCTCATACTCTGAATTTTATTTTATTCCATCTTCAATTAATAAATATTCATGTATCTGAATTTACAGGCCCTTTATATAATAAATAGATTAATATTTTGTTAAAGAATATTCTGATGCAATAAAAGAGCTTGTCAAGTTATTTTTCTTAAATTATCCCCTTACAATAAAATTACACCATCGCTTATCATTCCTTAGTAGAAAATGTGAATTTTCCAAACCAAAAATCTAAAATATAAACCTTAAAAAGTTAGTCTAATTTGTTGTGTGTGAAAAGCTAATGCAGAAGATATGAACAAGTAGAAAGAATTTTTTGCCTGTATATTTTCCAGAAGTTACAGTGTTTCTCCTCAATAGATAAAATATATATATAATTTATATAAAAAATATAAAGATATAAAATATATAACCTACTCAAAATATAAGGTTATTTAGATATTAGCATTGTCAATGACCAAATTAGATCTATATATATACATTAACATAGTTTTCAAGGAGAATTTCTAGTCAGAATCCATTATAAAAATTAATAAATATTTTAAAATATCTACTATCTTACCAGTCTTGCGGCATAAGTTTAAGGGGCTGGTCTACTACTCTATAAGGTACTGTGACACTAATTGCAGTGCCCCCTGGTTGCATCTGGTCTTTTCTTCGCTGTATTAGAGTTTCATTTTCTCGCTGACAACCTTGTTTCTTCTTTTCATCTGATGGGACAAATCTTTATAAAAAAAAAAAAAGATGAGACAAAGTCAAATGTACTTAATGTCATGAAAATGGTAAAATAAATATTTTGAAATAATTTTTAAACATTAATAGTTTTAAGCTAAGACATTTAATTTTAAAGAAACCTGCTCTTGTATAGACCAGAGTGCTTAGAGAACACAGGTCTTTCTCCCTGCATGCCAAACAGAACTCAAGCTAACTTAAACTCTAAGTTGGGGTGTTGGGGGGGGGAGGTTGTGTGTAAACGTGCAATTTGATACAATTTATACTCAGTCAACTAACAGCATTCTCCACCCTAATCCTTAATTTCTCCAATGCTATTTGAGGGAAACTTTATTATGACAAAGGGAAACTATTAAAAATCAAAAGGTCACTTGAAATGCAGATGTTGTTTGGCTAGCTAGACTCCTTCACTGGGTGACTATTCAGGAGATTCACAAAACATACTTTTTCCCATTTTATGCTTTAGCAAAATTACAAAATGCCATCAAATTTCAGAGTTTGCTTTTAAAATTTTAAAATAGGAAAATTAAAACAATGTATGCCAATGCTCTTTCAGTAAACACCACTAGTGCTATAAACTAGCAGTTATTTATCAACTTTTATCAACTCTACAAATTCTCAAAACAGTCTCAAAAGTAATTTAGCGATCTGGACAATTACTACTAGTTCTAAAATTTGCTAGTGTTCACAAAGCATTTTTAAACAGTCTCATTTTCTAAATACTGCATCTATAATCTTAACAGTCTATTAGCATATTTTATGAGCTATGAGCTAGTCCCTCCACTTAAATGGGGCAATACAATTACTGCACTGAGAATATCATTATGTGTCTAAGGCTTAGAAGAGATAAAGGGTGAAAAGACAAAGAAGATGCATGAGAGCCTGATGGTAAAGTTCCCTGAAGAATTTCAATACTACACACTGGATTCATCAGATAGTCATATTAAGTTTACAGTTTTTAAAGTTTTAGTGATCGTGCTAATACCAAACTCTGTTTTGGAGCTTACTGTGCTGATACCCATTTGACATCTGATAAAAAAGTTAAGATTTACATACCATTCTAAAATTTTCCCCAGATTATCATTTGCTCCCTATGGCTTTTGGCTATTTTATTTATTCATTAAGCACACTTAGAAAATGTCAAAGACAGTGCTACCACTTTGAATAATGAAACACATTATTTTTAAAATTTAATATAATATACACACATCATTGGAACTGAGTTCTAATAAAAAGCCACAACTAACAAAAATGTTTTAAGTGAACAGTATGTGCAAGTCATTGTGCTATAAATTATATAACATATATAGTTGTACAAAACATGGTCCCTGCCCTCTTGAACTTATGTTCTGGGGGATAGAACAAGGAAATTTTATTGCCGAAGAGAAATGCTTTGCTTTATTTCGATCTACATGTAAATGGGGCTTAAAATGTTCAAATTCTTAAGTATAATGTTTCATCTCCTTTACTGGCTTCTAGAGTTATACTGTGAAAGTATAAACTTACTCATATAAAATTACTTATAAAGTATATAATGATGAATTATAAAATATATACAACAAATGAGTGATCTATTACAAGACCCAACTAATAAAAAGTCTATTAAACACCTAACTCGGCTCGGCGCC